GGCGTCTTTTACCTCTTTCGGTTTTCATAGAAAGGCTTCTGGAGCCCGTTCACCACCAGCATCGCCTCCATCCGGCAAAAGCACTTAGTTAATAACATACGACATAAAAGAGTTAGAAAAAATCTCTAACTTAAAGCCAGAACACCTCAGCTAGTAGAGCCAGGATGGTGTCAAAGTTGAGGGTTCCGACCCCTCTCACAGACTCCCTCTCAGTAGGGGAGACGACCTTGAGCATGTTCTTTGTGAACTACTGAATATCCGGCCTTTGGCTGACATCTGCACAATCAACATCTTGTAAGTAGCTGACGTAAACCCGGTCAATAGACCGGGTGTCCTCAAAGCTTCTTGGCGCCTGCTGATATAACTTAACCCTACAAGGGTAAGGTAAGGGATTAAAGGCGGAGATACCTTGGGGCAACAGCTGCCTCCTTTTCCATAGGCAATTTGCTCTCGCCTGCTGCTGCTGAGCCGATAGCAGCGGTGGGTGGGTGGCCACCCTAGGCGTTCAACTTCTTCAGACCTTCAAGATAGGCGGGAGACTTGCCTCCGGTAGAGGGACGAGAGTTGTTTCCCGTCTAGGCAGACGCACGGGGCTTGTACGCCACATGCTTCCTGGACTTGCCAGGCGTCTTAAAATCGTCCGCCGTCTGCTTTTACAATTTTTGGCTTGGTTAAGGGGGCACTGGTGGCCTGTTCAGTCCCTCCTGTAAAGTATCAACCAAAGCAAGTTAGAAGCAAGAGGAAAAAGAAAAGCCGCTTGTATACAAAATACGAAAAGAAAACTGAAGATCTTTACATGGGCCAGTTGGTCTTTCTTGAACTCCTTAGCCTTCTTCTTGTTTATTTGGCGGTAGGCGCTTGCAGAGTTGGCAGGCTTCTTGTTGGAAGAGAGGTGCTCCATTGCTTCGTTTGCACAAACAAGTCGGATGTTAAAAAAAAATCATCACAATGTCATCAAATTGCCAAGTTTAATGGCACATCCGGACGTCCACCTCTAGGCTTTTCTGAGCTAAGGCCACAAGCGGCCAAATAGGTGCCGTCAGCCAACCACTCGAATTTGGAAATGTAGCTATGGGGAATTATTTCTTTTCCTTCCTTTCCCTCTATAGCTTGGGTGGTGACTTTGAAGAGGCTAGGCTCAAGGATCTGGTCCCAACCCTATTCAGGGACAAGCGACAAAATTGCCTTCTGTCCTAGGAGATAAGGGTCATGGTTCCAGGAATTGAACTTCTGATTCCTCTGGGTGTTGGATGAAGAGACAATGAAAAACTTGTTCCGCCAGTCCTTTCATTTGGACTCCTTGCCAACAACCATATACTCCTTATAGCTAGTTAGGGTGTACCAGCCGGAGCCGCTTGCCTTAGGGGTCCTGCTCAGATAATTCATCTTGGCAAATGCTTCAAATCCCAACTCAAATTTGAGCATCTCACAGGCGGTAACATACCCCCAAAATGTTAACCCAAGAGTTGGGGGCAAGTTGCCAGATACCCAGGCGATACCCGTCCAGAATTTTCTCCATAGTCGGGTGGAGAGGGAATCTAAGGCCAGCTTGGATGGCCACTTCGTAGCAGCCAAAGCACTGGTCTCCATAGCTGGACCCAGCCGGCCAGACGATTGTGTCCTCCAAATCGGGAACATGGATTTCGTAACCAAGACCCCATGACATGGGTAGTTCGAAATTCGTCCAGCTTCTCGAGCATGGATTTTGCTTGTTAGCAGTAATATGATGATAGTAGGCGACAAAATCCTCCTGGCGAGAGGTGGAAGCCTCTCTTTCGCCCCTAACCATGGAGGTGGGCGCTCTCGCCTCAACAGACGACGAAGACTCTGCCTCGGAGCCCTCAGACTCCTCATTTGATACAGACGACCCTAATCCAGCCTCAAAGCCGCCTGATCTAGCGTCCGAATGGGACGACCTGTGAACAAAGCCGGAAGTATCATTTCTAGACCCTTCCCCCGACTCATTTAAGATAAAGTCGCCTGGTGTACTCGATGGGCTAGGCGGATGGTACGAAACTTCACTAACCAACGCCCTTAAAGAGCCGTCCTCATTGAGCTCTCGGGCCGTTCGCTTTGTTCTGATCATAGTGTCCTACACAAACACAGAGACGGTCGGATTCGGGGATGTTCGAGGGGGGAGTCCAAGTAGGGGTAGCCGAGGCATTTGTTATAGTTAACCAATTTTAGGGGTTAATAATTAGCAAATTTTTTTTAAAGGTAGTAATTGACGAGTACCCCTGGTAGTACTCTGTAATAGACAAAATTTCCGAAATTTTTAAACGATCAAAAAGCTCTTAAAAAAACACCTCCTACCTTATGTGAAAATTAGGGAGGACTACGAGGATTTTTTTCCAAATTGAGCTTAATTCACAAAGTATTTTGCAAAGTAGAGTCGTGGTAAAACTATTTACCAAACTAAGCTTTCAAGGTAAAACTAGAGCTATCAAAAGCTGACCCAACCTGAAATACCGACCCGAACCCGATTATTAACCGACCCGTCTAAACCCGGAAATATGATGATCCGAACCCGATATTACTCGACCTGAAACCAACCCTAGACCCGAGTTAACCCGAGTATTTGAGACCCGAACCCGTACATGAATCGACCTGAAGATGACCCGACCCGAATATAACGCACAAAATATTGACTTGAACCGAACCTGACCTGAACCGAAATTGACTCAAACCCGTTTTAACCCGTCAAAACCCGAATTTAACCCGACCTGAATTCAACCCGACCTATTCCTAACCCGGCCCGAATTTAACATGACCTATTACTAACCCGACCCGAAATTCAACCCGATCTGTCACTAACCCGACCCGAAATCAACCCGACTTGTTATTGACCCGAAATTAACTAGCAATCTAGGATTACGTCATATCTTGTTTTTTGTTTTTTTTTTCTTCCCTAATTCTATGAGTTATTTTCCTATTTAAGCTTATTCAAATATTATCAATAAAATTCTCTATTATCAAATGTAATACAATTTATATGTCTCAAAAAAACCTATAAAAATTTATGAATACCACTACTTATGGATGCATGTGCATTCTTTATTTAAATTTAGTAATTACGATTTACGAATACTACTACTTTTTAGGTGCAAGTTAATTCTATATTTCAATTAAGCAATTATGGTTTACGAATACTACTACTTTGTAGGTGTATGTGCATTAATGTAGTCAATTATGGTTTACAAATACTATTTGACCTTAGGCTTGTTTGTTTTATCTTATATTTTGTAAAAAAAAAAATAAAATAAAATAAAATAAAATAAAAAAATTCAAATATAAAAAGTTAAAAAAAATAATAATTTCAGTAATGATTGAATTGAACGTGATAATGATTGAATGCGAGCATGAATATATGACAATGACCCGATGATAATCTGACCCAAATAATTTACATGTACCCGATCATGACTTGACTTGTCTGGACTCGAGAAAGTGGTGACCCGAACTAGAGCTGTTAAAAGGCTTTTATTGGTCTTCTATTTTTCTAATTTTATTATTCATTTGCCTATTTAATCTTATTTAAATTGTTTTGAATAATGTCATTTAAATGTTTTTAAAAAATGCCATTAAAAAAAAAGTGAACTCGGATATTAACTTATAAAAAATAAATAAGTTTAGATAATTTCAAATAAAATAAGTTTAGAAAAAAAAATTATTGTATTTTAACTTATCTAAACTAAACCTATTTTACCGGAATTTACATGAACTTATTGTATTTTATCTAAACATGTCATCTCGAATATGAACTTATCTGAAATTGTTATCCCTAAAATAAGTGGAATCAATGTGAATAGATTAGAATAGGGTTTGAACTTATCTTCTAAAAATCTAAACTAAATCTATCTTATTGGAATTGATATGAACTTATTATGTAGATCTTATCTAAACTTATTAGAACTTATTACCTCGAATTTAAACTTATTTGAAATTATTTCTCTTACAATAAATGAAGTAATTGAACGATCAAACATGAATGTCATTACATGAACTGTTAACAGATCGACCCAAAAAATGTACCCGAACCTGATATGACCCGACCTGAAATCAACCCGATACCCAGATTAACCCAATATTTGAGACCCGAACCCGAACATGACTTGACTTGGAAATGATCCGACCTGATTATAACCTGCAATTTTTTTACTTGAACCAAACCCGACTTGAATCCGAACATGACCCGCTTGTAAATTATCCGACTTGATTGTAACCCGCAAATAATTGACTTGAACCGAACCCGACTTGAACCCAAGAATTACCCGACTTGGAAATGACCCGACCTGATTATAACCCGCAAATTATTGACTTGGACCGAACCCGACTCAAACCCGAGAATGACCCGACCTATTATAACCCGCAAATTATTGACTTGAACCGAACCCGACTCGAACCCGAGAATGATCGTAACCCGTTTTAACCTGATTTAAACGCGACCTATTATTCACCCGACCCGAATGTAACTCGACCTGTTATTAACCCGATCTAAACCCGATAAAATGTATGACCCGACGTTACCCGACTCAAGCATGACCCAACTCGAACCCGACCCGTATAGAATACGACATTAACCCGAAATGAACCGACCCGAGTTGACCCGACCCTCACTTACCCGACCCAAACCCGACTTATTTACCCGAATTGACAGGTCTAGGTAAATACCCCTTTTTTCGAGACAGCGTTTTACATGTTGACTCTTTTTTTTCTTTTTAATTTCGTAATTTCTGATTTAAAATTTTCTAATAAAAAAAATTGAATATGTAAAACGCTGTCTGAGACAGCGTTTTACATATTGACTTTTTTTAAAAAAAAAAAAAAAAAAACCAAATTTCTGATTTTTTTAGTGTAATTATTTTTTTTTTATTTTAAAATAAAAAATTACAATTTTTTTTAAAAAAAAAGTAAAACGCTGTCTCAGACAGTGTTTTACACATTGTTTTTTTTTTTTTTTTAAAAAAACCCAGGGTATAAAACGCTGTTTATCTTAAAAGCTTAGTTTGGTAAATAATTTGGGCACGAGTCTACTTTATAAAATAGTTTTGTAATAAAGCTTTACTTTGGAAAATGATACGGACCTACGGGGTAGTTTGTAGTTTTCAACGTTTCTATTGTTGGACTCATACTTTGTTCAACTCATCATCATCAATCTGGGTCCCTTCCCCTAAATCACTCCTGACGCAGTCACGCCAAACCAAACCATTCCAAACTTTGGAACCATTCCAAATTCAAATTCCGACAACCACCACTCTCCATCTCTCTGTGTATGATCCAAAAATGTCATCAATAATCTACCAAATCTTGACCTCCACAAGCCTCCTCTCCCTGGGCCTCTACCACCTCATCTCCACCACCCGCAACTTCCTCAAATCCCCACAATCCTTCACCTCCAAACCATTCCACCCCCTCCCACTCTCTCCCTCCTCCTCCCACCTCCGCCTCCTCCCTCTCTACGCCACCATCACCACCCTCTTCCTCTCCTTCCTCCACTCCCTCCTCTCCTCCTCCCTCCCCGACCCCCTCATCCACGGCCACTCCCCTGTCCACCTCTTCACCTCCCTCCAATCCGCCTCCATCTCCTTCCTCTTCCTCCTCCTCTCCCTCTCCCTCCTCCTCTCCGAATCCACCTCCCTCTTCTCTCTCCTCCCTTCCGACCTCTTCTTCGCTCTCGCCTCCTCCTCCTTCTTCCTCTCCTCCTCCGTCTCCTCCTCTCGTTCCGCTCTTCTCACCTCCGATCTTCAATCCCGTTGCGACTCCATCTCGTCTACCATCTCTCTAATCTCCTCGATTCTCTGTCTCGCTCTTGCCGCCTTTCCCAGGCTGTTCGTCTTTGACGTCGGCCTCGCTGCGTCGGTGTGTTTGCAGGGTCTTTGGGCTCTGCAAACTGGGTTGTCTCTCTATGTGGAGGCGTTTATTCCGGAAGGGTGTCATCGTCTTCTTGATGTTGTTAGTGGTGTTGAAGGGTCCACCAAATGTGAGCTCGAGGACTCTAAGCTTCGTGCGATTGCGATTCTTGATTTTGCGTTTTTGATTCATGTGGGTGTTGTTGTCATCTTGGTGTTTGTGGTTTATGCCGTGGTTTCTAAGGCTTTGGGTGTTTCTAGAAGATTTGGGGGGTCTTATGAGGTTCTGCCTACTGCTGCTGATACTAATCATGTTCAGTTGAAGACTTTGAGTGGCACTCAGGCTTAATTTGGGTTTTTTTTTTCAAGGTAATTTATGTTCTAGAAGATTTATGTCTTGTTTTTCAAGCTTTTGTAATTTTGCCTTTTGGGATATTCTCTTCCTTTTTGTTGTTGTTGGTGTTTTTATGTTTTCATTTGCTTTATTGTTAAGTTTTGCATCTGCTTTTGATATGCTGAATGGCTGTAGTTCTTTTGATTAATTTGATGATGAAAGGCTCTCTATGGATTTAAGTCAACTCCCAGAAATAAGCAGAACTATAGGATTTCAAAAACTTTTTTCATTAAATTAGATGAATAGGAAGCATGATCGATTGCCATAGATTTTGATTTTACTTGATATTGATAGTATTGTGACCAGTTTCATTTATGCGGTTGCAATGGGAGCTCGTTTATGGAAGGTTGAAAATGAGCTAGAGGTAACCTTATATGTTGCATCTGTTTCATATGAGTAGGTGCGATTGATAATGAACTCGATTAAATACTAATATGAGTGCTTTACTCATTGACCAGCTCTTTATTTCTTGAATGAGCTGCATTTTTAAGGGGGCGAAGATGTAGGAAGAGACACTGCTAGAATAGAATCTTGAATGATGAGCTAAAATTGCCCCTCAGACTGCTAGGAATTGTAGGCATTGAGAAAATTAAGCAAACACTAAAACTTTAGACTATTTTTTTAATAAGGAAAAGACAATGAAGCTTCTTGAAAGCCAAAATCTCCAAGAATATAATCAAATGATGGATCCATTATCAATCCATAGGGTAATTTTCAAATGGTTGGCTGTAGGTGATGACTTTCTGTTGCTTGGCTCCATCACATCCTAAGGTTGAAGATAAAAACTAAAATAAGCTGATAGCCTCTGCCTGACAGGGGTACATTTTTATTGGTTTGCTCTTCTTTGGTTATACTTCTTGTAGATTCTAGTTCATCTTTAGGAATGTAGCTGTTATATTTGATAATTGCAAACTCGTAAAGCATCTTCATCAGGGATCAGCATAACTTTCCCATCTGATTCAACCAGCGTTGACCTGGAAATTTCACTTGAGAAAATTGATTTTTGATGGTAAGAGTTGTACTTAGGCAGGCATATGTCAACTGATTTTGGTTCAATGTAGTGTTATTGTTCATATTGTCAGAATGATGTTTGGCTATTTTAGGGGCTTCATTTTAAAACGCATCTTAAATATTCAACAGTAGTTGTGCTATCATGCTTAAATTTTTGTGTCACCATATGCAGCCAAAATTTAATATTTATACAATGGATCCATCATTAAAATTTATCCTTAATCTTATGGTGAGTCATAAATTATCGGTCTGATTGGCAGATGGGCCAGCTGTGTTCAATGCATAATAGGTTATCCGATTTATTCTGATACTTCCAGTTACAAACTTACAAATGTGTGAAGAAGCAACTTTTAGGTTTTAGTTAGAAAATCTACTTCTACACTCCTAGCCGACTAGCTCTGCCACTAACAGCAACCACCTCTACCACCTTTTAAAAAAAAAACATGCTGACATGCATCATCTGCCCAAGTAATAAATTGGGCTTCTACATTTCATCAAATCTAATATATTTCATCCTCCCCTTCCAAGTGCAATAGTACTAAAGAAACTAGGACAAAAACTTCTCATTCACTTCTTAGGGAATGCTCATATCTGCGGGATTGAAGTTTGTTGATCTTTCATAAAGATATTCCTGTTTGATATACCTATGGGAATGTAGAGAAAAGAGGTTCATAAGTAATAGAAATTTCCCAAGTAGGCCAAATAACTACATAACAGAAAATGTAGTTGTCTTTCCCTTCATGACAAGAATGAAATTGTTTCACCTCCTGAATTATTCTGATTATTCTAACAGAAATAAATTCATACATGCCTTTCTCATGAAGCTACACTTCAAGAATCAAGATACACCAGGAGGCTAATCATAGTCTTAACTAGCAGCTCCATCATTTAGAGATTACTTCATCTTTTGGCTTTGTTTTGGAATTAGCAATTTTCCAATGCCCTGTATAGATTGATTTATCTTTGTTGATAGATTCACCAAGCATAGTAGTATACCACCAATACTTTCACTTATACTGTCATAGTGTTATTACAATGAGAAATGAGATATCTCCTACCTGAAATGGACCTTTCATAATAAATACCTCTTTGTGAAATTTCTTAGCAAACGAAATCATTTTTATCTGTATTCACCTTTAATTAATCTTCAATTCATTTCAGCCCTACTGTTAGTTGTAGAAGTATGGTTATATCCTCTTGTGTGTTTTTGGAACGATCAAATTATTTCTTATTTGCAAAGATCTGATCCATGCTTCTGTTCAAGGGTCACATGAGATGTTTAGCATTGTCACATGTTTTAGCTTTTTACAGAAGTAGGCCTTTCCTACTAATTTGTTTCTGAGTAGTGCAAGTAATTTCCTTACATGGTATCTTTTAGCTGCCTTAAGTACATAAAATAGTGAGGAAACTGCATTGACATTGTTGTAAATGCAGCTAAATGCTGTGTGCTAAAGCTGAAGAACAACTTGCATAGATACTACTGATTGAGCCTGCTAGATTGATTAAACTTACTCTACTCTATATGAACCTGTTTTGAATATAGCTCTAGTTGATGTGCTTTAGTGATGTAGTCTTTGTTGAATTGAATGTTTTTCTTGTATTATTTTTTGTTGATTTGTAAGAAAATATATTTCATTTTGTTTGTGATAAACAATAGCAAATGTACGGATAGAGCTACGTTTAATGCAATTAGGTCAATTGATCTCATATAGCTCTTCAAAAAAATGTAACAAGTATCATCTCTACAAGAGTCTAGTATGTTTTAGTAAAAAATTTGATCATCCAAAGCTTTCCGTACATGTGTGATATTATTTGTGGTTTTGTGTTGTGTTGATCCTTATTGTTAACCTATGTTATTCGGACTCTTCATTTTACCTCAAGTACCCATGTCGAACCCTCAATACTCGGACATGGGTATGACACTTGGACACTTCATTTTAGTTCAAAGTCAAAGAATTTTTTTAAAAAATAGCCGAGTCAAACACTTGGACACATACCCATGTCAAACATGAGTACCCGAGTCAAAGTAACATAGGTTGAAACTGTTATTCTTGCCAAGCCCATTCCATTGTACTGTCATTGAATACTTCTGATGTCTAGATCTGTACACACTAGAATATTCTTAGCTATGCTATAAATTTGTATCTATTCTTGCAAGATACTTGGAATATATATTAATTTTCCGGTAAAAAGGGACAATGTGCATGACATTTAAAGTCAATAAGGTAGAAAACAGGCCACAAGGCCTACAACAACAAATCAGCAATAGGTCTTGTGCATTTTGCAGTTTGCCGTATCTTTGCTTGTTCAAGATCTAACCCTTTCATAATTTTATATGTGATTCAGGTTGGTATATCTTGTGCAATAGTTCGAGTTAACAGATCATCATTTGTGGGGGGATTGATTAATGTGTAAATGAAGTCCCCTAGATGCAAGCACATCTACTGCAGTTTCTATGTTTGCAGAGCAGCAGGGGAAACACCTCAACCAGTGGCCATGGAGAAATATAAAAGAAAAGAATGGTGCTGCGTACTTTTGAAGTGGATTGTTACCCGCCTCTCTTATGCTAACTTAGAGCATATTTACAATTTTCAGCAAAGCTGTGTAGTCTGCTTGGAAATCAAAATTTTGTTGAAATTTCTATCATAGAATTGGGGAGCTTAAATTAGGCATTTGGATTAAATTCTCATTGATCAGTGCCCATTGCCCAGTTTTAAATTCTTACTCTTATCTAATACATTAAAAGCATGTTTTTCTCGAGTCTTCAAATATTATTCCCAACTCTTATGAATAAAGTAACCCAAATCCAAAATTCATTCATCCTTTCCCTTGATTTTCCCGTGAGTGGCAACCAACCCACCACTATCACTATTAGTGTCAATAAAGCTAACATTGGCAATAGTTTGAGGCTCCTTGCCCTTTGTGTTCTTAGCATCACCATTCCCCGATTGTTTCTTTTGTCATTTCCAACACTCTAAATTAATGTGGCTTTTTATGCAACAATAATTGCAAGTCATGTTACGGTTAGGATTCGGCCTTTTCAACTTAGACCAACCCATGTTCTTGACTCCTTGTTCTTTTCCCCATTGCCATTACTATTAGAATCCTTTTCAAAGTTTCTATCTCTCATAAACAACCCATTATTGGAGTTGTTAGATGATTTAGAAAATATTTGATTGTCAATTAAGTCCCTTTGGGTCAAAGCGTCTCTAATTTTATACTCCCTTCGTGTTTAAATAAATGAAACGTTTCCTTATGCACATATGCCAATGCAAAACTTTGACTGATAATATCTTTAATTATCAATAAGTAAAAGTTAAAACAATTGAGTATTAATAAACTATTCATTGAGACGATTACAACAAGTATCCATATGATTATATTTATTCTTATGTATAAATCACAAATATTAGTCAAATTGAATTAGATGAATAGTGCAAAAAGTCAAAACGTTTCATTTATTTAAACACGGAGGGAGTATATACAACCATGCAAGATAGTTTCACAAAAATGCTTGTAAGAAGGTGGTAATGAACATAACAAATAAATTGTAAGATCTACATCATCCAATGTCACATCAATTTGAATATCTATGACAATTGAGAAAAAAACAGCTAAATGAGACGTAAGTGAATTACCTTCTTTAAGGCGGAGATCGTAGAGTGTACTCATGAGTAATAGACGGTTGATCAAACTCTTTGCTATGTAAAAAGACTCTAACTTCGTTCATAGATCCTCCACAGTAGTTTCATTAGCAACTTCCCTCAATACTTCGTTCGAGAGGCAAATTTGTGTAGCCGACAAGCTTTCAAGTCAATTTATTCCCACTTCCCTTCCATCATGGTCAACAATTTCTCATCTTTCCCTTCAATGGCCTTACGCACACCATTTTGTATCAAAATAACTTTTATCTTACTTTCTAAATGCCAAAATTAATTGACCTATCAAACTTCTTAATATCTAACTTCATTGTTAACTTGAGTACTCAATACTCAATAAAACAAGGAATCAAACAACTCTAAAAACAACTTAAACTCTTATACCAATTGTTATAAAATAGGACCTTTTGGGGCTTAATTTTGATTTGTAAGAACAATGCAAGTTAAAATGAGAGAGCAATTGCACAAAGTAAAAACACGCAAGATTTATAGTGCTTCATTCAAAATGAGCTACATCCACTTTTAGGGAGATTGGAGCTTGTATTACTCTTTAATGAAGGAAGAATTACAATGGAGAAATTCTCATGGGGATGAGAAAGATGGTTGGTGTTCTTAATAAGCTAGGTTTTAGATTTATATCTCACTTGTTTTGCTCTCATACTCTTAAAAGACTATACAAAGTGTATTTATAGTGCTTGGAAATAAGGACAATATAACGGCCAAGATTAGAGCTCATCACGAAAAGAGGAAGTTGGAAACAAGGTAGGTCCGGGCGAACCTACCCTTGGTTCGTGCGAACCACCAATGGTTTAGGCAAACCTCACTCTACGTTCGGGCTAACATTTACACAAGAGGGCCTAGACGATTTGCTTCAATAGGTTCGCGCAAACCTACTATGGGTTTGGGTGCTCAAACAGACAACTTTTCGTAAAACAAACATAACTTTCTAGTTTCTAATCGAAAATGGACTTGTGACTACTCGTTGGAAAGCACTTGAAATATGCTATCACCTTCAATTTGGAATCAACTCAATTTCATTTCTAGATTTTGAGATATGATCATTTAAAGTCAGCCCTTAACTAAGCTTCTTTGCTTAAAGCTCCAAACACCATAATACCAAACATGCATCAACATGGAGCATTCGAGACACACATATAACAAAACCTAGGGCGAAAGGATATGTAAAACTTGTTTCAAATTTCTATGTAGTAAAACTGTAAAAGTAGTTAAGCATCTTACTCCAACGAGTTAGAAAAGCACAAGAAATTTGTACTGAACCAATATACGGCATTTAAAACTAACTTTTGAGATAGAACTGATATACAATAGACTAGATACAATCTTTGAGTACCATCTGAAATAGCGGCTATGAATTCATGTGGTTCCAATAAGCTAAGTATTCTTTTGCTGGGGAAGAAACATTGTAGTGTTTGCCTTAGGTTACTTGTCCCAAGGATTGAGAGCTGAATGGAAAATTTTGGCACTTGATACCCAAAAATCAAAAAAAAAATATAATGGGCAAGAGCAAGAATCTACTATACAAACTACGTTGATGGTAGCATTAAACCATCAATCTACATGCATCAATCATTAATTGAATAGCACCTTCATGGCTTAATCGGAGCCATTTCGTAACGGTCACCAATATGAGCCAACCAAGCATGATCTATTCCAAAAAAATGCTCCGTAATTCATAAACAAATTGGCCAATTGTTTTTACTGCTCAGCCACTTAACCACTGTCTAAAGTATGATTGCTGTTTTTCCCGGTTAGCAGCATTTCCAATGTTCACTGTTGGAATTATTTTGTTGGGCCTAAGAAACTGAAATACAGCAATAACTAAGCCTAAGTAGTAGTGTAAACAAACGTATATGCAAAATAACTTTTTAACAGTAGCAAGAGTTGAATCAAACCTGAACAAATTCTTGCAGTTCAGTAAAACTGGAGTGCTCACTGTAGGGAACTCCTGCACAGTAAAAGAAGTGAACTAACTTAAGCAGGTATAATATTCACAAAGTCTAGTATTAATTGACTGAAAATTCTTTCTATATTACCATAAATTTGGATGTTTCCTCGTGAATTGGGTTTGATTAGATCCAACTGACTACCGACAGACTCCGAGAATGTCCAGCCTATAACTCGGTAAGCATGTCCAGTTAATACTTTCATAGAATCAAGAAAAAAATAGAGAACAGCAGTTTGCAACATTCAGCAAGACTACCTGTTGGCCGAAATGCCACGACTGCATTGAACTGATCCTGGTATGTCTTCAAGTAGGTTTTAAGGGTCTTGCCCATAAATCAAAAAGAAATAAGACATTGTTATTCCATAGAGATAAACATTAAGATGTTTTTAATGGAAGGTCCACATTCAGATTAACACCTCATGTTTTAACGATGAAATAGGCAGAACATGAAGAGGAGTATCCTTTCCGTTGGTGCAGAGATTTTTGGAAAGGTGAGGCCAGTCAAAGGACTGCAAAATTCTTCTCCTTGACGCATTTGCATATATCTTGACCTAAAGTCAACATGAAATAAAGTCAGGAAACTGCAACATAGAAATCATCTTAACAAAACTATAAGACAGTCTCATTAGTAGAGACAGACTTTAGAAAAGAAGTGATCCAGGATAAAGTAGGATGCTACGAGCTGTCTCCATTGAATAAAAAATACAAAATTCTTTCACTACTATTGCTACAAATCATTCTTCACAGGGTGTCATCAGAAACACTCTTTCCATCAAATTTAAAATCCCATAAATGAAACCCACCTCTGTAAGCCTATCACATAATTCATTTATAGTCTTAGGGATTTATTAAGAGGGAAATTTAATCTGCTATATATGCATTATAACAATTGAAGACAAGATGAAGACCATAAGAGGTGTTTAATCATCTACTTTGTACAAGCTATCTTAAATTCTCAAATGGGTAAGTTATCGCACTTGCATATTATGGGTAGATTGTAATAATTCTTGTAATCATGATAGCAATCAACTTTCTCACGGCATTATTTGCTATATTGCCTCTGATTCATATAACTGATTACCAAGCAACCTGCTATATTATTTACTTCAGTTGAAGGCCATGATGATCATCAAATTGTTTTAGTATCCGCATTTTACGCTTGATAATTGATAATGACTACTGCAAACATTAATTTAGTATGTATATGCAGCCCTTATATATTCCGTAAAACAAAAGGGAAAAAATGCTATTCCAAATGAAGTGTCCAAGTCCTACAACTTTTACATTCTGAGATACCACTGGAAGTTCTTAGACTTTGGAGACTCTTGAATACAATGTCTTAGAACTCTTTTTTTTTCTTTTTTAAAAAGAAATGGACCGAGTCAACTGAATAATAAAACAAAATGACATGCAAGATAACATAGCGGTAGCAAAAGGTTTTTTTTGTTCTCTAATGTTCACTATGCACTTGAAACATACTGCATTTACAGCACTGTCACAGTAGCCATTCTGATTTTTTTTTTGGGGTGAACTGTCATCATAAAAAGAGTACTTTTATAAGCTAGTTCCGATTGAAAAAAAGCTGTTGGGAGAAATTTTGCTTTACATGCAGTAGTAGGTTAAGAGGTAAAGAGTAGTATGTGTACATACTTCAGTAAAACATAGGGGTACAAAACTAAAAGATAGAACACAATGGAATGTTAAGGAAAAAGGAGATAAAAGGTAGTGGCATGCATGTTTTATCATACACATGTATTTTACAAGCCATCATGATCACTATTTTGTTTTTACCAAAAATGAAGCTAAATTTTATAAAGTGAGATAATCTCATAATCCCTATTTATAGCTACTCAGAGCTAATAAAACTATCCATACATCAAAATGACAGAAAATATTATGCATATGGAATCACTAGATAGTAAGGTCAAAGCAATTTACCTTTATTGCCTCTGAGATGGCAATATATACACACTCTTTCCCAATACTATATGCCCCAACTACAACAAGGGTCTTTGGTTGCTTTTTGAGACAGGTCATAGTAGTCTTTACAACAAAGCTCGTCACTTCTTCTTTTGAAGGAAACCTGCAATGTTCATATATGTAAGAAATTGCAAACTGCAGAATATAAGAAATCTAATGGGCACACTGATTACCTGTATTTTGGGTTGCAATAAGTTGTATCTAAGTAAATTACATTGACTTTGTTATTTACAAGAAGGGGATAAGTTTGCATGCGTTTACAAGCTCTGAAATCTCCTGTGTGTAAAAAACGCTGTCCATCTGAAAGATGGAAGTAAATTAAGGCAGCACCTGGGCAGTGATTGGCTTCTAACAGTGTCACTTTGACACCATCAATTAGGTGTTCAACATCCAACTCCAAAGGGCGTATGTATCTGTTCCCAAAACAATGCAGAGCACACTATACACAATAAATGAATACATCCATATTATATGAGTAAGTATAAAAATGAAAGCAAGACCTTAACAGACTCATATGTACAAAGGAAAAGTGCAAAGAGTCACAGAGGAGTCCTTACGATGGATTAACATAGAGACACATTCTAACCAGGCGAGCGGTGATAGAGGTACAATAGATGGGGCCGTGTGACCATGCCTTGCTTAACCCACCATAATGATCAGCATGGAAATGGCTAAGAAAATAAGAGGAGCAGCCTTTGACAGCACCATATCGAAATGCATCCACAGTAAAGGGAGTGCCTGGAAGATGATGGACAACCTGTTAAACCACAGCATATTGATGTGCTGAAGAATGATCTATAGGGAGGGGAAAAAAATAAAACAAACTAAATGTAATTTTTTTTAAAGAGTTTAAGGAGCTAGTAGCACCCTGACTCACACAACCACATATCAGAGCACATCAAAGCAGGTTAATGACAATACCTTCTTCCCTACTCAATTCAATCTGAAGCTGTATGCTATGGATGTTGGAGGAATTCTTTATTTTGTTCTTTGTTTCTTTCTCTGACCTCCATCCAAGTTATTTTTTTTCTATTGTTTTTTTTTTTTTTTTTTTCTATCACTAGTTCCTCTTATCCTCTGAAATTCTCCGTTCAACTCCATTCTTTATTGAATTATGAAACAAAAGGTAGGACTAGGATTACTTCTCATCATTTGCATCAAAATCAATAGATAATATTAGTAAAGACGTGATAATTATGATAAAATTCCTTATTGCCTAAAAATTTATTTACACTCCAGTTGAACGTAACTCAAGAAGATGGAAGTTCTTAGCAGTGTTTGGTTCAACCAAAATATATTGAACATAATATGAAGGGTAACCAAGTAAGACATAGCAGGGAGCTGGAAACTAAGGCATATGACGGAAAATGTAACATTCCATCTCCAAATAAGGAAAATCTTTTCCATCAGGAGTTAAGAAAGTTTATTTCAGATCACGAAAATTATTTGGTCTTCTTCACAAACAAAATTAAGGAAAATGAGAACACTATAACTAGTTATACTCGAAAACAACTTTCCTTGCCACCAAACACAGCCTGAGTTCACAATAAGACAGGACCTATCTGCTCTTTCTATAGTACCCAAAACAGCCTATTACTTGGTTGCTTCATTCCAATAAAGGTTCCAGCCCCTAGCCCTCACAAACTTCAGCAGAACAATTCCCGAAACATGAATGATCAGACCCTCATTTCCTACCCACATACTATCATTATCATTTGAATAAGAAACTCCGATATGATTTAGACAAGATCACAACCCAAAGGACAATAACTGATCCAAAATTCTTCTAGATCAATATAAGCAATTTCAGCATAATCACAATTATTCACACATGCTCAAGCTGAAAATGAATAGTATAGCTATCATCATACTACTATGATAGAACTCAAAATTCAAAATTATCAGTTTTAGAAAGTTATCAATTACATCCCATCTAAAAATTCAAACACTAAAAAAAAGTAAAAAAAAAAAAAAAAAAATCTAAATTAAGGGAGCTGATAACCTGGAATCTTCTTATAAAAAGGGCAAGACCGAGCATTTCCTTGTACCATGAATGATTTCCTTTTCTGAGAAGCCTTTGAATCGATTTCGAAAGCTCGATTCCGGGCTCGAAAAGAGTCAGGAGACACACAAGGAGGGCTTAGATGTGTATCAGTTTTCATATAAGGAAGAACACCAATGTGGGTTTCATTCTCCTTATCTTTATTCTTCTCATTTTCCACCTTCTCATGTTTTTCCTGTTTAAGCCCCCACATTTGAAAAAGGTTTTTTTGCTTCAATTTCTTTGAATTCAAAGGCGAATCAACTCGCAATGTAGACCAATCAGACCCGCTTTGGTAAAAATCAGCAGCAAAGCTCCCGTCTTTCGAACCCGAACTCGAACTCGAACACCCGATTGAATCTTCATTAAGTGAATCAATTTTGTGGGGTTGTTGTTCTTCAACTTGTTCGTTGAATAGAGGTTGTGGGAACCCATTTTCGTCTAGAGAAATTGAGGGTTCTTCATAAAATTCAGAATTTGGATCTTGGTAGAAGAGATAAGAATCAGAAAATGCATCAATTTCTTCGATTTGGTTGGCTGATTCAAGCATAATGATATTGTTCAACCCCCTAAAATCCCAGTTTTCTTTGAGAATTGATATGAATTGGTGGGCTTCTTATTACAGCGGTAGTTGTGTTTGAAGTTTGAAGTGGTGTTATTGTTTGGAGTTCAAAGGATTAATCGTCGCGGGAAATCTTTGTTAACTTTGGGCCTGTTGGCCTCTTCATATACCACTTATTTTGGGATTGTAAATAAAAAAGAAAAAATTAACTCTACCGTAGGGTGTCCGTTCGGTTTTCGATTTGAATTTAGGCCAAATTCGATCCAATCCGAAATATGATTCGGTTTTTAATTTTTCAATCCAATCCGAATTAAAATTTGGTTATTCGGATCCGATCCAAAAATCCAAATTAAAGTACGTTAATTTTTAGCACCTAATATGATTATAAAAATAAAACTTTAATTTTAATACAAGTCTGCAAAATTATGATTAAAATAAATAGTTCAACATCAAGTCATTATACAAAGCCTAATTTATTTTATGTAGCAGTAAGTATTTGGGCTAAAATTCAAAAGGTCAATCATAAAACAAAGAAATTCATATTCATACAAGTTTAATTTTACAGTTCGGTTTTCGGTTTTATTTGGACCCAATTAGGGTCAATCCGATCCAATCCAAAAATCCTTTAAAAAATCTCAATCCGATCCGGTCCAATTTATAGTTTGGATCTGATTCGAATTGATAATTCGGTTTGGATGGATTGGATTTCAGTTTTAATCCGAATTATGGACACCCCTACTCTACCATTCTTACAAAAATATGGACATTCTTGCTTACACTAGTATTATCAAGAGGAAATCTATGTTTATCAAAGTGGCAGTATTGTAATAAAAATGTCTTGGGAATCATAAAGTAAGAGTAAAAAAAAATTTCCTCCACTCACGTGTCCTATTTTGTCAAAATTTAAGGAAAAAGTAACTTGACGGAGGAAAAGAGATGTTATGTTAGACATTATGCCTTAACTAAACTCGAGTTACTTGAGTTCAGATAAGGTACACACATACCTGCATCTTGTGATTTCGAATTAGGGGGAGGAAGGAATGGTGATTGCAAAGCTAACGAACAACATGCGTTTGTCTAAATTGTCAAAGGTATGTAAAATAGCCGCCTTGAATTTGTCTAGTCGGAAAACGGACAAAAAATAAAAAAAAATCACAAATCTACCCCCCAACCACTACCACCCAGATCCACCCCCAGCTCGCTCACAACCTTGCCACCCACCCTCACTCACACCACCACCGTCACTCACACCACCACCCACCACCCACCACTACCATCCACCACCACAAAATAAATAAAAAATTCCATGAACCAAAAATACATCAAATTAAAAATAAAACAAAATATGCAATTAGCAATAAAGTTTAAAAATTAACAAAATTTGCATTCGCAACTGCTACCATACAGACCACCACCTAAATGGCTAAACCCACCCCTAACCCTCACTTCTTCTCTAAAGCCACCCTCCCTAACCCAGATCTACCACCTAAACCCACCACGCATCCACCCCACCTAACCCTAACCGTGCCGTCCGAATACCCACCCAAATCACTCACAATGAACGGCCAAACCCACCAGCACAACCCAAATTTTTTTAAAAAAAATACTCAAAAATATAAGAAAGAATTAAAAGCACGAAAACATACCTTAAAAGCCGAAGTTGGCTTCGAATTTCACCTTGAATTTGGTTTGATAAGGCCAAATTCGACCATGAAAACTCTAGATCTAGATATTTCATGGTCGAATCTACATCTATGCTTATATATTAAAAAGTGTTCCAAAAATAGAATATGTGCCATGTGGCATCCTTCACATGTATTAGATGTATGCCACATCACCTTTCATATATATTGTATGCCACATCATCCATTATACTATAACATGTTTTAATGAAAATAAAAATGTTTATTACAAGGTTTGAACACAAGACCAATAAAAAATGAATTGATGTTCTTACCATCTTTGCTATCTTTAAATTATGCTTCATATTAAATTATAATATACTAAATACTTTGTATTAAACATCAATGTGAGAGCACTTATTTAGTTTCATGGTTATTATTGCTCACTTTTATTTTAATTATATAGTTTATAGCTTAAATAATATGTATTGATATTCAGAATAAAACTCGGTGCATCGCACGATCCACACACTAGTTTGACCTTAAAAACCGCTAATTTGAATGAAAGCATGAGAAAGAGAGGGAAAGATAGGAGTGGGAAAGAGAGGTGAGAGAATGAGAGCCTAATTAACCAGGGTTAACTCCTTTCACCTAACGACGTTATATGTGAGTTACATTTTAGTATTCTCTATGACAGACAAATTACGACGATACACTTTCTTTGATTTTTAGCAGGAAATGACCAAAACACCCTAAATAAATATGCCCAGTTTATCTAAGAGATGAAGTGGGGATTTCTCAATCAATTATCTCATAGGTTTCCCTGAAAAAAAAAAACCCTCATAGGTTTATGACGATCCCAATTTTAGGAGTCCTTTTTAAAACGGTCTCTATCTTATAATGATCAGGTAAACCAGTTAAAATTGTCACTTTTTGAATACTTAGTAATTCATTTTACTAAATATTATTGTTTTAAGGTGAAGAGAACATGGTCTTATGGATGGGGGTGGGTTTGCAAAATCGATGAAAATTAATTATTTCGGATGTTTAGTTCAGGTTATCTCGATTCGATTTGTATCAGCAATTTGAAATGTGTTCAAATCAATTTATTTTGATTTCGAGTCAACTTAAGATTAGTTAAGTAGGAGAATCAATTTTAGATAAATTTTTGACCGAATTACAACAAATCTGGGCCAAGTTTTAATCGTCTATGTCTCTAGCGATAAAAGAAGCAACTCCTTGAGTGGCTCTATGGGTTAAGTTTGTATCGTGCGATTCTCAACTACGTGTTAAGTTTGGATAGGCCATGCCATGGGTTCGGATGAAGTAAGAATTCTAGGGTATGGTCAAATTCAGACAAGTAATCGCATCAAGAAGAGTTTTATATGATTATGATAATGTAAAAATTATGTAGATCGTTTTCCTAATTAAGGAAATTACAATTTCAATTAGGTTTACTTTTGTTAGATTAACAATGGGTCGAATTGAATTGGATCTAAAGTAAATTGGATCGATTTTTTAGGACGATCTTGGGTATTAGAATAAATTTGAATTACCAACAATTTAGTTGAATTTAGGATTGGGTTTACTTAAGTTAAGTCTAGATTCATGTGGGTTAAATCGACTCTCAAATTATATAAGGTAGAGTCAAACGGGATCTCAGGTTATATCGGATCAATCAATTGTACTTGTTCTCGTGTTAAATCTGGCTTTTGATGTTATCAATTCAATGCTGATTCGGTTAGATTTATACATATCGAATCCTTATTCGTCTTGGGTTTCCTTGGGTCGATTGCGGATTGAGTATGGGTCTTCAATTCTTGAGTTAAATCGAATGTTTGTTTTTTGATGGGATCTAGCCATAACACCTAATCAAAAGAAATTCCTAAGTCCTCTAACTAAAGCAGATAGGGAAGTGATGGACGTTAGAACGGTCGTACATTCCACACTCAATCAAACACATTTATTAACAAACACCTTACAAACCAAGCATAATGACAAGTAAGAGTTCGGTCCACAAGGAACGGGATATGATTGCCAAAGATCTTTACACTTAAGCTAACTCGAAGTCAATTGGTGAATTGGGGTTCGTCAAGAAGACAAACAAACTATGGTTCTAAATCAATGAATTAAAGATACTAGGGAATGAGATCCACTCAACCAAGGCAAATAGGCAAACGGGGAGTAAAATAGACAAGGTATAGCAAGGACTATATGTAAAATCAACCTCATGCAATTAGAAAACAACTCACACTACTAAACTTAGATTCCTCATTAGTTTAGCAATAGATGATACATAATCAAATTACAATAAGTAATGACGTACTCAATTTACACTTCCATGTCAAATTAGGCATATCATACTATCAAGCTCCTTAGTCAAGGGTAGCTAAACCTATCATGAGGAACTAACAAGCAATCTCATATAATCAATTTAATTGCAATACAAACATCAATGCTTCTCCCACATTTGCATAGTTAACCCAAAAGGTCGAGCTTCACCCAACCCCTAGCAAGAAGACTACTCACAACTCATGTTTATCAACATGAAATCAAGAATTAGGGTTCTAAATACTTCAATAATTGGGGAAAAGTGGTTAACAATTGAAATAACTATCATCCAATAACAAATTACCAAGAACTAAGAAGATTTAAATAACATGCAAATACCAAATAAAATCTGAAATTAAAAGGAAGAAGGTTGGAGAAATTACTAATTGAAGCTTCAAATGTTGAATACAAATTGCCAAACTTTGAGAATAATTCTTGAATTTCACTAATACAATGATTTGATTTGATGAAAACTAAGCTAAATTAATCCTAAGGAATGTTTCAAACTAAGAGAGGTTTCTGAAAACTCGGCTACTGTCCTTCTTCTCCTCTTTTTTAAACGATCTCAAAAGGACCTTAAATAGTCCGTACAAAATTGGCTGAGATCGGGAAAAGGTCCGACCGAACTCTGGGTAGGTTCGGTCGGACTCAGGGTGGGTTCGGCCGAACCCTGTGTAGGTTCGGTCGAACCTCCCTGATCCTTGTTTGGTCGAACTTTTGAGGTTCGACCTCTCCTGCAAAATTGCTGAAAACTGGTTTGACACTGCCTTCACTGCACCCTGGAGGTTCGGTCAAACTTTTCAAAAGTTTGACCACACCAAGGTTCGACCGGACCTTTCAGAGGTTCGGCCACACCTCCTCTTGCACTTCCTTTTCTTGCTTCCTCTCCTTCCCTTTTGCTCCTTTTGCCTTTGTCCATGGCTTCCATACTTGGCCAAGGGGCCTCCCACCGTGCATAGGACCGTCATGGAACCTGCAGAAGATACCAAAGTTCACGAGAGCATGGGGATGAAAAAATAATGCATAAAGATTATCAAAATAAGCGCAAATAAGCATTACTTTTCATCAACACAAAAAGAAGCCATAAGAGGATAATGAGGTGGAAAAACCTAAGAAAAATAAGAGGAAAAAGACCTAAATACTACCCCTAAGAGTGACATAAATGTCACTCATCAAACTCCCCCACGCTAAGCCTTTGCTCGCCCTCGAGCAAAGCAAAGGAAAAAGAACAAGGGAGAAAGAATTAGTTATTCAAACATGCAAGGAACAAAAGAAAAACCGAAATTGCTTTTAGCAAAAGCAACAAGCCATTTAAACCCCAAGGTCTCCGATGAGGACGAGTTGTGATCTCGTGAGGGTTT